TACGAAGGCTGAACCGGAGTATAAAGCACCTGAAGCCCACCAATTTACAAACAGGCATATAAGCCTCATTCAAAAACCCTCAAGTTTATCACAACAGCTTTTGTGAGATCTGTATTATAGGGCCTTTACCTTTAATTGCAGATCACACAGATAATCACTACTCTATCTTCCCAAAGGGGATTTCTTCCTTTAGGCTTTAACTGCTGAACTATCCTTATTTAAATTGGAGCATAAATCCAGACACTAGGTTGGGTGGTCTGCAGCACATTTCTTCCTATTCTGTTAATTGACTACATATATGGGAACTTAATTAGCATAGCTTTGGAAAACTATTTTCTCATATGAAGATGGAAAGGACAATATGCAGAAATAGCCAAGTATTTTGCAGTGTACACAATCAGATTTAGAAATTAAAAACACTTAGCACAGGGCTAGCTTTTTATATTCTTGGCTTGCATCTGAAAAACGCTGAATTCCTCAGAACTGTGTTAACTGTCATAGCCAAATTAACTCTGAAAAATAAAGATCCTTTAGACTCTTTTAAAAAGAGAAAAGATCATCAGTTCTACCGGTCAATTAAAACTGACACAATAAACCATTGTAACAAGCACTAACCTTTAGGCTCTCCTCCTCCATTAGGTGAAAGGTTTGTCCAGAAGATGGTGTGATTGATATGACCCCCACCATTGAACTTCAGTGCAGGCTGAAGCGACACTTGAGTTGTAACATCACCTAAGGATGCAGAAGATAAAAATACATACATAAATAAAAACATCATCATCACCACAGTAGTCACTAAGTTGCCACTAAGCCTCCATCGATCTCCAAAATCTTTCAAGTCTTACTAGTCTATAACATGCCTATAGAAAAGGTAAGATTTGTGACTGTCATCAGTCACGGATGTAAAATACGGATGTATTTTAGATAATCACTGACATAAACTACATTAAAGATTTCTTTGACCTGTAATGAATGATATGTGATCTGCCAATATTGCACTTCAGGCAGTATCAGGCAACCCGTATTACACACAAGATCTACCGCCATTCTACATCAGAGTAAAGCAACTAGTAGAGCCAAAACATTTTAAGGACCCAGCACTTGTAAATTGCTCAGTATTAACACTACAAGACAAGAACATTGTTCACCCATTAACACACTGATTTGCAAACCAAGAATTTTTAAACTTTTTAAACAATTTACAAGACAAACAGTTTGTGCTTCAGAGAAAGCTGATATGTACAGTGAGCATGTACACGAATGAAATGTCCTTCTCCCTCCTATTTTTTTGTTCTGTTTTGGTTTTTTTGGAATGAGGTACTTGCAGGAAGACGTAATGACCCAGATAATTTTACTCCGCGTTACAGAACCCTGCATCTGAAATCAAGATCAGACAGCCCTGTACTTCCTCCCTCTCCGCAAAATGTCATATTCCTTAAAAGAATTCAGTAGTGCTTTGTGCCTCTGAATGGTGTTGCACCACTTCAACACAAATGTTTTTAATGTTATCATGGCTTTTAAAAGAATCGAAACATTTCAAAGGTTTTTGAAGCTTCTTCCACCACTCCAATACATTCTCTAATAAGAAATCAGTGGGGGCAGCTGTTTCCTCCACTCACTTTCAGGAATGAGTGGTGTTAGTCTTACTATAGCAATAAATGAGCCATCTTAACACAGACATGAAGGCAAGCCACAAAGCAGTAGCATACCTGTTACTAAGGTTTTAATACAGGATTCCAGGTTCTCAGCATCTCCTCAAACCCTTCAGAAACTACATCAGCCTTCATAAGTTTCATACAAATAAAGTATCTGGATGAAGCTGTTCCAATATAACTCACAAGTCCCCCCAAAAATACAGAATTCAATGCTTTGCTAAAATAAATTACAGTAGCACTCAATCACACACCCGTGACTTTCTGGTTTTGCTGGAAACGACCACTGTTATAGTAAAAAAGTTTCCTTAAGATGCAGAAACTAATTCTTAAAAATAATTTTGTCCCTACACCAATTCACTATCACATGCAATACGGTTTATTTTTTTCCCATTCAGAAAAATACCTGTGAGTTAAAAAACAGTCTATGACTAATATGTGATCTCTGCATCTCCAGTCCTAATAATACCCAGAGCAACAAAACCAGAGGGGTACAGGACTGGAACAAAGCATCCAATGCAGGCAGTTAGTACAACCACTACTCACTGAATTCAGGTATCAAGTTAAGAACGAGACAACTCTCACGCCCAGTCAAATGGCATCTTTGGGACATATTCCTTGAATTTTGCATGCCTTCATGACACTTTTAAGTTCATCCAGAGCACACAACATATCACACAGGCCAGAAATGCAAAAATAACCCAGGATGTCTTCAATGTCTTTATCACTGTTTATTCCACCATTCCTTAGAGTAATCCATTCCCCAGAACCACTAGGCACCAGAGATGGCATTTGACCATTGTCCTTAAAACA